GTCATATGACGGACGAAAGTTTAACACCTTTTCACCGGAATCGAAGGAGATTACCTCGGAAACAGCGTCAGCATGAAGCTTCCAGAAAAGTCAATCGACAACTGGTCTTCTCTTGGAATCGACCTTCAAATCTCTTCACCCACCACTTTCACTCGAAATGCAAGCAAGCTCAACAATTATGGGACCAGATTCTTCGAAACGCAACCCAGCTGGAATTTCGCTCCATTTTTAGAGTTAATTCTGAACCTCGACCACGACTTTTTGGTTTGGAACCCATTGTAACAAAGTCCGAAATATATTATCTTACTATTCACTATTTCTATTTATCATTTTTTCATATACTATTTATATTACTATTATAGTTGTTTCATATTTAATTATAATAGGATATGATATTACATGTATATTCTATATAATATTTTATTTAATTATTTTGTCGTAAAATAGAGAAAGATCTTTAAAAATTTGAATCTCCTACTACCTCCGCTGATTAAACTGATAGATCGATCGATTTTAACCTACTCATCTAGTTAGTAGTAGTGTCATGAGTTTAAAGAAAATGGAGACAGGCTTGGTAGTTCAGTCCGGTCTAGACGATAATTACATTCAGATGTTCAATGAAATACTGAGGCTTTCGACTCATTTCAAAAAGGTGATACTGACGAAACAAAGTTGCTGTTGCTATAGCTATCAATAAGATTACTTATTTTTTGTTGCATAACTAGGTTTTCAAGACTACCAGAAGTATTCACCTGCCAGCCCTTCATTATCCGAAGTGAAATTGGGTGAATATAGCTCTTATATCAGATCTAGTGGTAGTCACGAAAGGCTACTTGTGAAAAGAAAAATAAGTAATATAGTTGATTGTTATAACAAATAAAACTTTGCTTTGTCGAAAATCCCACAACAATAGTGGCCGTCTGGCGTAGTGACTTACATTTTGGTGCTATACTCATCACTATAGCGTCTTAAGTTCGAGTCTCACCGAAAGTGCCTATAAGGCCAGTTTAGGCGAGGTCGAATCTGCACTCCACTCCAGCCGAAATGAGAATGCCGTTTAGGAGGCAAGGCCATGTTAAATGTAATGAAAACTTTAGGTCTTAAACGAAACAGGGTGAATGAGGATCCTATAATTTCATTTAAGACCGTCATTTTGCTCAAATTCAGCCCAAAGAGGCTGCATTATTTTCTGTTTCAAGTACAACTATAAACCTTGCAATTGCAGTAAAATCAACACTATTTCTCAGCTCAGCTAAGACGAGATCTGACCTCCCCCTACAGCATGGGCTCGGAACCAAATACGGACTGCCATGTCATTATCTTTAAAGCCGAAGCACGTTTTGCTTAATGTTGGCACGATTAGTCGCCTCCGGTGCCCAAACGCTGTCTTGACCTTATGTTTTTGGGAGATAATCTCCAGAGGTCAGTTTCATAGGATACTT